TAATGCGTAACAACTATTATTGCTACTAATAATTGATATAAATTGATAAAAACTTACTATCATAATAATGATAATGATAAAGTATAATAAATGATAAATGTAATGTGAACAATGATAATAATGATAATAGCAATAATAATGGTTAATCATTTGTGATAGTTTGCGATGAGATTGGATGAATGCTTAATAGTATTGATGATAATTGATATAAGTTGATAAAAAACTTGCTGTCATAATAATGATGATAGTATTATAACTGATAAATATAATGTTAGCAGTGATAATGATGATAATGGTGGCTGTTAGTTTGTGATAGTTTGCGATAAGATTCGATGAATGCTTAGTAGTATTAATGATAATTAATATAAATTGATAAAAAATTGCTATCATAACAATGATAATCGCATAATAACTAATAATAGCGATACTGATAAATGTAATGTTAACAATGATAATAGTGATAATAGCTGAATGCTCAGTAGTTGCTACCATAACAATGATAATAATAAAGTATAATAACTGATAAATGTAATGTTAGCAATGATAATAGTGATAATAGCTGAATGCTTAGTAGTATTAATCATAATTGATATAAATTGATAAAAAATTGCTACCATAACAATGATAACGATAAAGTATAATAACTGATAAATGTAATGTTAACAATGATAATAATGATAATAGCTCAATTCTCAGTAGTATTAATGATAATTGATATAAATTGATAAAAACTTGCTATCATAACAATGATAACTGTTATAATAACTAATAATAATGATACTGATAAATGTAATGTTAACAATGATAATAATGATAATAGCAATAATAGTGATTGTTAGTTTATGATAGTTTGCGATAAGATTGAATGAATGCTTAGTTGTATTAGTAGTAGTAGTAGTATTGTTGATGATGATAGTTTGTAGAATTTGGGAAATGGTTCCCAGTTGTGCCGACCAAACCTATTATCATTCGATATCAAAATTTTTGCTCGGAGAATACAGCCAGAAAAAAAAACTAAAAAAAAAAAAATAAAAAGGAAAAAAGGAAAAATTTTTGCTGTTTTAATGCTTATTGTATGCCATGCCTAATGCATCATCAATGAAAAATTATTTATATAAAAAATTTTTATTGAAAAAAAAACAAATAATTGTTATTTAGTTTAAAATTTTACTCATTTCATATGATAATGAAAAGAAAATTAATGAATATAATTAGAATAATTTATTTTAAATTATTACTTTTACTAATAATAATTAATAATTTTTACTAATAATTATTAATAAATCATAATTGATAAGTATTATTAATACAAATGTAATTAATAATAATTTGAAAGAAAATTAATGAATGTAATTGGAATAATTTATTTTAAATTATTAATTTTACTAATAATAATTAATAATTTTTACTAATAATTATTAATAAATCATAATTGATAAGTATTATTGATACAAATGTAATTAATAATAATTTGAAAGAAAATTAATGAATGTAATTAGAATAATTTATTTTAAATTATTAATTTTACTAGTAATGGTATTAATAATTTTTACTGATATGTATTAATAAATCATAATTGATAAGTATCATTAATACAAAATATATAATTAATAATTCATACTGATAAATATCATTGATAAAAAATTTTGTGATATTTTTTATTTTATTAATTTTAATTAGAATGAGTTTTTTTTTTACTAATAAGTATAAATAATTCATAATTGATAAGTATCATATATAGTTGATAAGTATCACTAATACAAAATATATAATCAATAATTCATACTGATAAATATCATTGATAAAAAATTTTGTTATATTTTTTCTTTATTAATTTTAACTAAAATGGATTTTTTTTCTTATTTAATTAATACTTAAAGTTAATTCGTTAAAAAAAAACAAAGAAACGATCACGATTGGATTGGAATTTAAAAGTTGAAAAGAAAAAAACCTGAAATTATCAAATATTCAAATACTATTAACCATTTCATATATTTCATTGAATGATTTAGTATATACACAGAGAGAGGAGTATTGCTAGTTTAATTTAAAAAATTTATTATGTATATACAATTTAAATAATTTAAAAATAATTTAAAACATAAAAATAATTTGAAATAACTTACTTGGTATATATATATACAGTATTGCTAATTTAATTTAAATAATTTATATGTAAATACAATTTAATTAATTAAAAAACATAAAAATAATTTAAAATAACTTATTTGGTATATATACAGTATTGCTAATTTAATTTAAATAATTTATATGTAAATACAATTTAATTAATTAAAAAACATAAAAATAATTTAAAATAACTTATTTGGTATATATATACAGTATTGCTAATTTAATTTAAATAATTTTTTATGCATATATAATTTAAAAATAATTTAAAATAACTTATGTACAGTATTACTAAATTAATTTAAATAATTTATTATGTATATATAAATTAATTTAAAATAACTTATGTACAGTATTATCAATTAAATTTAAATATTTTAAAATAACTTATTTAGTCTATATACAGTAGTACTGCTCATATATATTCTCAAATTTCAATTGCAAATTGATAAAAATGTGATTGATAATGGTAGAAATTATAATTAATTAATTAATTAATAAAAGTTGAAATTTTTGATAATTTAATAGTTTGTTCGTTTTTCTTTTTTTTTTAATTTCTTTTTTAAAATTTATGATATATTTATGAATTGAATGAGAAATTGTTGGTTGACAAAATTTTATTATTTGAAAATGATAGGAAGAGGATGATGACGAGGTAGCAGAAATAATTGTTGAAAAGATAGTTTGTGAAAATGAGTACTATCGCCGATAATAATCATCATCATCATCATCATCAACATCATCATCAACATCATCATCAAACCATCATCATCATCATTGATGATCATTGATGATGGTTTGATGACCTTCAAGAAATCAGTTTCGCTCGGTTTGTTATCAGTGATGGCAATCAGTGAATCTTCAATTTCAGATACCTTTTTGATATCTTTGATTGCGGCATCTGAAGAAAGTTTAGTTCATGCCGACCGACCGACCAACCGACCGATTGATTTAATTTGACGACCGATTTGTACCCTAATTTAGAATGAAAATTTTTGTTGATCTTAAAAATTTAATGATCATTTATCAATAAATTACAAAATGAAAAAAAAAAAAAAATTTTTTTTAGACCTCGTTTTATTCATTGAAAAAAAAAAAAAAAAGGAAACTATTAGTTTTAACAATTTTACTCATTTTTGTTACACTTTTTTATTTGTAAATGAGAAAATATTATATTAAATAATGCTAATATTATTGTCATCGATAATTTTAATAGGTAAACAAACAAATTGAATGATTAATTAGATGAAAATAAGAAATTGATTGACATAAAATTTTGCTACGAATGACTTTGAATGACATAAAGCATTTCAAAATTGCTAAGCGTAAATCGGATAGTTTTGTCTTTTGTCACAAATGCCTTCATTAATTAATTTATTTTTGCTCCTTGTTGTTAATTAGTAAAGCTACAAATGCAAATCAACAAGTGATAAGATTATATGATAGCTATTACCTTAGCAAAATTATCAAAAAACATCTCTAAATGATTAAATTTTAGGAAGCAAAGAAAATTTTAAATATTTGTATTTAAAGTTTTAAATCATTAACCTAAAGATTATTATTCATTGAAAAATGTAATTTTATTAATTGATAAACTGATGTGCTACTTTAGTGATAATAGCAAATGATAAAAAATGATAATAATGTTATATACTGGCATAGCAAATTGTTGTAGGCAATTTAGTGATTTAGTGATTGAAAATGATTCATAAATATAAAATTTAAATTTTAAATGAAATCATTCATTAAATGAACTAATTTTATGCAAAATCGATGTTGCTATTAGTTAGTTAATTACATCGTTTATTGCTTGAAAATTAAAATTGAATAATATATTTTGAAATTTTAAAATTAGTCAAAACTTATTTATCATTAACAACTGTCCAAATGACTACTTCACTTCAATGTAATCAACAAATTATGCAAAGTGTGGAAAAATTTTTGCAAATCATTTTAACTCATTAAAATTTCCATTATCTTATTATCACAAAGGGATTGATAATAATAATAATGATAATAATAATAATAATAATAATAATAATAGTTCGATGTAAAATTTACACATGTGATAATAATAAAGTGATAATTTAACTTTAGAAGTGATAAAAATTTAACTTAATCAAAATCATGCAAATCATTTTAACTCATTAAAATTTCCATTATCTTATTATCACAAAGGGATTGATAATAATAATAATGATAATAATAATAATAATAACAATAATAATAATAATAATAATAATAATAATAATAATAGCTCGATGTAAAATTTACACATGTGATAATAATAAAGTGATAATTTAACTTTAAAAGTGATAAAAATTTAAATCAAAATCATCATTTCTTTACTTTATTAAGTAAATTTTTCATCTTAGGGACAAAAAAAAAAGAAAAAGAAGAAAGGAAATAATACAATAATAAAAAGTTACGCAAAAAAAAAGATTTGAAAATATGCCGAAAGATAAAAGGATAAAAATCCCTCTTATCCCACTTCAACATTTTATTTTATCTAAATCTCTTCCTAAATCTCTCTTCTTTTTTGTTTCCTTCCAAAAAAAAAAATGCTACAAATTAAGAAATTATAATTTAAAATCAAATAATCTTTTCTTTTTTTTTCCATTCTTTTATAAATTTAAAATATTTAAAAAACTAACTTAATTTCTCAATAATAATTAAATTCATACATTAGAAAATAAAATAAAATTAATGAAATGCATATTTATTCAAAAAAAATTAATAATTAAATTTGAAATGACAAAAAAAAAATATAAAAGTAAAAAAAAAGAGAAAAGAAAATGAAATGTAAATATTATATATAAAATGATTTTATTCCATTCATTCAGCTGATTTTTTCAAAGCAAAAAAAAAAAATGCAAAAATGTCCGATCGAAGCTGTTATCATTAGACCTAATCTGCGCTCATTGCATCAGCTAAAATCATCATCAACATCATCATCATCATCATCATTATCATCATCATCATCATCATCATCATTATCATCATCATCATCATCATCATTATCATCATCATCATCATCATTATCATCATCATTATCATCATCATCATCATCATTATCATCATCATCATTATCATCATCATTATCATCATCATCATCATCATCATCATTATCATCATCATCATCATCATCATCATTATCATCATTATCATCTCATCATTATCATCATCAATATCAGAATTGAATATCAACCATTATTGTTTTCCTTTTTTTTTTTGTTTTTCGTTTTATTTATTTTTTGAATTAAAATATACATTATAGCATTTTTAAGCCTATGAATACATTTTATTTTGTGAAAAAGAATAAAAGTAAATAAAATGATTGTTTTGAAAATTTTTTTTAATGAAATATTATAATTAATCATTACAGTATATTTTATGATAATTTAAATTTTTTAAATTCTTTAACTATTTTTTTCTTCATATTAATCATAATTATTAATCATATATATTAATCATAGCTATATTATATGTATATATGCGTTTGTTTGTATTAATTTATTATTATTAACACTATTATTAGTACTATTATTATATAATCGTTTGTTTATATTAATTTATTATTATTACTATTATTATTATTACTATTATTATATATTCGTTTGTTTACATTAATTTATTATTATTATTATTACTGTTGTTATTATTATTATCATTATTATTATTATTATATATTCGTTTGTCTATATTAATTCGTTATTATTATTACTATTATTATTATTATTATTATTATATATTCGTTTGTTTATATTAATTTGTTATTATTATCACTATTATTATTATTATTAATATTATTATTACTATTGTTATTATATATTCGCTTGTTTATGTTAATTTGTTATTATTATTACTATTATTATTATTATTATTATTATTATTATTATTATATAATCGTTTGTCTATATTAATTTAATTTATACATAATTATTTTTATTAATAAAAATAATAAATTGATTAGAATTATTAATTATTATTATTATTATTAAGTACTAAATAACTAGAATTATTAATTAATCAAGCTGTATATATAAGAAAGAATTTTATCATTAATTTCTTTCTTTCACTTGAGCTAATATCAAAATATGAATTATAAATTATAATCAAATTCACTTAATGCTTATTTCAATTCTTATACACATAGTATAATTGTAAATTAATTATAACATATGATTATTGCAGTTAATTAATGTTTAGTTTTTATGTATTCAATTTTAATTTTATTAATATTATACTGAAATAGCAATTTGTATTGTAACTTTTTTTTGTTTACTTTAAAAAAAAAAAAAAAGTAACAGATGGATCGATTTGATCGCTTAATTCTATGAAGTTACTTACGGTAATCCTTTACAAATACAGTATTAACTATACAGCACTAATTAATTAATCTCTATGAATAAATTAACAGACACATACACAAACATACACATACATACACATACACATACACAGACATACATACATACACATACACAGACATACATACATACATATTTCATTAAGTTAAATTCTATCAGATTACATCATCTAATCTATCATTCTATTACCGAAGAATTGTGATGGCGCAATTTGCTATGCGGTATCTTTCTTTTTCTTTTTTTTTTTTTTTGGAAAATAAACTTTTTTCCTTTTTTTTGGAAAATAAACTTTTTTTTTTTTACGCAATTTAAATAATAAAAAAAAAAACAAAAGAAAGATGAAAGAAAGTATTATGTAGAGATTAAAATAGATGGAAAAGAAAAACTTTTTTTTTTTTAAATCATAAATCGATTATGCGTCATTTTTTTTTTTTTTTTTTGAAATTTCTAATCTGAATGAATTATTATACATCATTTTTACCTCTCTCTCTCTCTCTCTCTCTCTCTTTTTTCTTCCATTTTATTTTATTTTTTTATTTTTTATTTAATTTAATAAATAAATTTAAAAAAAAAAGTAAGGGATGATATAATTAGCAAAAAAAAAATGATTTTAACATTTAACAAGAATGAAAAATAATTAAATTTTTTTTTTTACATAACACTGTAACAAATACTTAAAGAAAAAAAAAAAAAGAATTTAAAAGTTCATTCTTTTTTCTTTCTTCTTTTACCTACTTATCAGTCATTCTCTGTTCTTATCATCATTATCATATGATAAAAGGTAATAAAGAGAAGAAATGGAAAAGAAAAAAGTGAGAGAGAGAGAGAAAAAAAAACCTTCAAAAATAAATTCGACATTTACCTTTTGTGTTTGATTTAAAACAGTTAATAAAAGATGATGACAGATGAATATTTTTTTTTTCATCTAGAACTTCAATGATGTCAAAACTCTTTTTCGAAACTGTAATTGACTTGTTTTATTGTAACTGATTACTTTTTAGGAGAGGAAATTATCAATTAATTTCATCTAATTTTTATGTCAAATAAAAAAAAAAAAAATGTTTCTAACTAAGCAATGTTTTTTTTTTTTTTAAAAAAATTTTAACCTTATCTTAAAATTATTTAATGTTTGTTTATTTTTAAACACAAACCAATTAAACTAAAATTTATTTATTTACTTGTTTATTTATTTTTTTTTTTGCAAATTCATATGAAAACCATATGCGGAAGCACTGATAAATTTTTGATACTGAAAAAAAAAAAAAGATTTTTTTTTTCAGTAAACAGTTAATTGCAGTAAATTAACTTTTAATCTTAAATTTAATTAATACCGCAAATTTTTTACGACAAATAAAATTAAAATCATTTTTTTCTAATAATCAGAAATGTTAAACATGAATCAAAAACTGGCATAAATTATAAAATATACTATGTTTTTTTTTTAAAAAAAATAGGTTAAAAAAAAAGAAAACACCTCAAGAAATGATTTAAAAATATATATTCAATTTGTAATATTTAAATTTAACTTATCTAAGTTTAACCTAAATTCTTTTACCTACTAATACAATTTAAATTATCTAACTTTAATATAATATATTAGTAGCAAAATTTATAAGTTATAATAGTATGATACCATTAAAGTATTTTTATAAATTATCTTTTCTACAATCAAATCATTATAAATGCAAAAATTCAACAAAAAAAAAAAAAAAAAAAAAAAAATTGTTACTACAAATATTTTTAATCTTATTCATTGCATTCTTAATTAATCATAGCAAATAAATCATTTAATTATAGCAAATAATACCTAAACTAAATGCAAATTTTAGTAATATTTATTTTTTAAAAACAGAAAAAAAAAACAAAAAAAGAAAAATTGAAAGTACTTTTTCATTTAAACATTAAAATATTAAAATTAAATCAAATTAACAAAAAAAAATTTTATTTTTACAAATTTTCATTTCATTTCTTTCTTGCTATGCTACAAAAATCAGTGTTAAAATTGGTCTAAAATTTGACTAATAATTTTTTCAGCATTTAAACTTTTTATATGATAATGCAAATTAAATTTATAGTTTAACTACGTAAATGTTAAAATTATTGCAAATTATTTGATGGAAAAAGTTTTGTTCAAAATGAAAATTTATATTTTCAAATAACATTTTATAAAAATTAATCTAACCTATTTTTGTTTATTCATCTAAATTCTCTTAAAATTTCCAACACTTTTCTTTAATATTTACATCTGTTTTCAATTTTAAATTATAACCAAAGAGTAGTAGCTGTTGTTGTTGTTTGTTGTTTGTTGTTTATTATCGTTGTTGTTGTTGTTATCGATTATTAAATGATGATGTTATTAATTGATGATAGTATTATGATTATTATTATTTGTCAAAAACAGGTTATAATTTTTGCTAAGCCAATCAGTGTTGTCAATGAAAGACAAGAAATTTGATAAAAATTAAAAAGGAAGTTTGAAAAGCGAAAATGATTGGTTAAGGTAAAATGTAATCATTTATTTTCCCTAAACGAAAATTTAAAAAATTTTTCTTTTCTTTTTGAAAAAAAAAAGAAAAAGGAAAAGAAAAATAACATCATTTATGATATCATTATCATTATCATTATTTGTCTGTCTAAATTATCAGTCACAGTTTTCTATTTTTAAAAAAAAAAAAAATATTTTCAATCAGTATCAAATATTAATCAAAGAAACTGATAACATAATTTTGATTTCAGGGAAAATAGCATCATTTATGATATCATTATTGTTATCACTATTTGTTTGTCCAAATTATCAGTTACAATTTTATTTATTTTTTTTTTTTAAAAATATTTTCAATTAGTATCAAATATTAATCAAAGAAATTGATAACATAATTTTGTATTTAAGGAAAATAACATCATTTATGATATCATTATTATTATCATTATTTATCTGTCCAAATTATCAGTTACAGTTTTTTTTTTTAAATTATCAAATAAATTGATACCATAATTTTGTGTTCTTCGGTGGTTACAGTATGCAATCAATTATTTACAAATGAAAATTGATGTATTTGTTGAATGATTGGCAATGAATACGGTAAATAAACATATGCAAATACTTCAAATCATTCTCATAAAAATTTTTTTTTTTGATAATAAAAAAATAATAATAATAATAGAAATTGATAAATTAAAATGTAATCTAATAATGATAAAATTTTTTATGAAAGAATTAAATTTGAATTGCTAATATATTTTTTTTTCATAAGTAATATTATTGATAACTTTGAACAGAGTAATTTCCTTTTTTTTTTTTTTGATTTGTTGATAATATGTTATCATTGATAATGTGATTTATTCATTTGGAAAAAAAAAAAAAAAAGAGAAAAAGGTCGATAAATAAGTTAGAAAAAGTTGAAATATTACATTTTAAAAAAATAAATTTAATTTTTTGAAAAACTGTAATAAGATGAAATAATAATAATAAAAAAAAAAAAAAAAGAATGAAGAAAAATGAAATAAGTATACTTTATATAAATTCATAAATTTTTTTATTTTTTTTTAGAGAGAGAAAAAGAAAAACTAGTTTTATTCAAATCAATAATGACAGTACGGTTTTCATTTGATATGATACTAAATTGTCCTTGAAAAAAAATTAGTGAAAAATGGTTGAGAGATGGAAGAAATGATTGAAAATTGGACAAATTCTTCTATTACAGAAAAAAAAAAAAAAGAAAACAATAATTTTTCTTTTTATTATCAAAAATTAATTAATTAAAAATATCAAAAATTACTTAATTATCATTTATTCAATAATTAATAAATTTTCTGCATATTTTTTTCTAATTTTATATAAAAATTTTACATTAAAACATATTGACTGATATATTACGTACGTATATTTCAGACATTAAATGATATATACGTATTTGAAATCACGTACGTATATGATAGGCATTAAATGATATATAAGTATTTGAAATCACGTACGTATATGATAGAAATTAAATAATATATAAGTATTTGAAATCACCTACGTATATGATAGAAATTAAATAATATATAAGTATTTGAAATCACGTATCTATATATAAGACATTAAATGATATATACGTATTTGAAACACGTACGTATATGTTAGACATTAAATGATATAAACGTATTTGAAATCACGTACGTATATGTTAGACATTAAATGATATAAGCGTATTTGAAACACGTACGCATATGTTAGACATTAAATAATATAAACGTATTTGAAATCACGTGCGTATATGATAGAAATTAAATGATATAAACGTATTTGAAATCACGTACGTATATGATAGAAATTAAATGATATAAACGTATTTGAAATCACGTACGTATATGATAGAAATTAAATGATATAAATAAATTTGCTATCATACTTTTACACATAAACAGAAATAATGATCATGACAAAATTTATTAGTAATGATAAGAAATTTTTGATTAATTATGCTTTTGTTTAAATGTTTGATTGAAAAAAACATTTAAAAGTAATCAATCATAAGAAATTTGATCAAAGTTATAAAATATTCCGTTAAATATAAATAAAATAAAACTTTTCATACGAACGGGAAATAAAAATGAAATTGTTAAAATGAAATCCTAAAATGAAAGCTTTCGTTATCATAATTTTATTTTCATTTAAAAAGTATAATTAACATTCTTATCATTTAATAAGTTATGATATCAAATTTTACTAAAATTTCATTCATTAAATTTCAACGTGTTTTACTACAATTTACACGTTATCACACGTCAACACATTATTACACGTCACATTTTTTAATTTGATTACTTAACATTAAAAAAAAAAAAAGAAAAAAGAAAAAACTGTGATAAATTAATTGAATAAAGCATAGCTAACCGTAAATATATAGATATATTGCTATAGCATTAAAAAAATAAATGAAATAGGAATTTTAATTGAAAAAGAAAAATTATTACAAAACATTATTTCAAAAATTCATTTCTAATCAAATATGCTTAATTAATTAGCCTTAATTAGATGCTTATTAATTAGTGCATCTTACATTGATAAATTGTAATTAAATAATGAAAAAAAGCACAACGATGAAAAAGTAAATAATATAAAATTCTTAAATAGATAATATAAAATGTCATCAAATTGAGTGATAAATTTTATAATAAATATTCATCATTTGTAAATAATACAATAATATAAATAATAAAATGATTAATTAAGAAGACAAGGATACGTTATCATTATCATGATCATTATCATTATCATTATCATTACTATTATTATCATTTTTGATCCCTAACCCGGGTATGGTAATGGTGTATGTATATCATTTAAAGGAATGTAAATAATAAAATGATCAAATACAGCATTTGTAGCCGCAATACAGCACCTATCACCAATGCAACCTTCATTATCATCATTATCATTATCGTCATCAGTAACATCATCATCATCACCATCACCATCATCATCATCAACATCATCAATATTATCAGCGTTATTTGTGCTAGTAAATAAGATGCACACAGCAGATACCATTTCTCACTTTCTCTCTTCTATCATCAATTATCATTTCATCAATTTTAATCACATCATTTCTATCAACCATAAACAATATTAATGTTAATCTCTCCATTTCATCTTCTCTTTCTCTTTCATTATACTTCCTCAATCGTAATTTTTATAATATAATATTTTAAAAATTATTTTAATTAATAAAAATTATTATTCAAAAATTTTTTTTTTTAATAAAATAATAATTGCTTCTTTTACTATATAATCTTATCAAAATATTTTTTGAATGATAATTTTTATTAAGATTACTAAATGGATTATTTATTTTTGAAGTCATTTTTTAATTTATACTTAATGTCTTTATCACTTAAATTAATAATTTGCTATAGTAATAATAAATTATCCTATTATCATTTAATAATGGCATCAGCTATCATTATCACAACTAGTTATTTTCATTACTATCATTGGTTCACTAAACAAAAAAAAAACAAAAAAAAAAATTACAAAAATTTGAAATAATCAACAAAATAAACAACAAAATTTCGTTTAAAAAAAACAAATTTATTGATTTTTTTCTCCGATCAAATGTTATTATTTTTTTTCTTGAAATTATTGAAACTAAAACATTTCAATGAACTGATAACATTAATAGCACTGATAAAAAATGATATGGTTTTTTTTTTTTTTTTTCAAAAATATTTTTATCATTTTTTTTTGTATTATCTTTATCAGAATCAATTTCACTTTATCAGTTTGATTATTTCATTAAATTTTTTTAACAAATAATTATCAATTATTAAAGTATGACAGATAGATAGAGAAGAAATAATATACGATAAGATGAAATCAAATTAAAAATTAAACACAAAGAGTTTTTCCTCGTGTTTTTAAAACATTAAATTATTGCAGTGTAATTTCTCACGCTTACCTACAAACAACATTACGTGTAAAATTTTTAATTTTTGTTTAAAACAAATTTTGTAAAAAAATTTGCAGTAATAATTTCAGATCATTTACCTTAGCTGGTATAGATCAAATTGTCACATGGTGATAATTTTAAAATATTTTACACTATCATTTATCTATTAAAACAAATGATTTTCACAATTTTATTGTAATATGGCAGGTGATAATTGCTGTGCTTCACATGATCAGTGTAAATGATCTATTATCTTATATCAAATTTTACTACAACAACAAAAAAACAAAACAAAACAAAACAAACAAACAAACAAAAAAAAAAAAAAAAAATGAAAACATTTTGTTTAATTATTTAATTAAAATCGGTTAATTATTTCATTTAAAAATTAGCATTTTATTAATATTATTAGTATTTTTATACTTTTCATACTTAATTTATACCTATTACCTAAGCTTATATTAACCTAAGAATAGTTACTTTTAAGAAATGATATTCTTTAGCATTTTTTTAAATTAAAATCGGTTAATTATTTCATTTCAAAATTAGCAATTTATTAATATTATTATTAGTATTTTTATACTTTTCATACTTAATTTATACCTATTACCTAAGTTTGTATTAACCTAAAAAAGAATTACTTTTAAGAAATGATATTCTTTAGCATTTTTTTAAATTAAAATCGGTTAATTATTTCATTTCAAAATTAGCAATTTATTAATATTATTATTAGTATTTTTCAGGTTAATTTATACCTATTACCTAAGTTTATATTGACCTAAAAAAGAATTACTTTTAAGAAATGTTATTCTTTAGCATTTTTCTCAACATGATTTTTATAAATTTATATTAATGTAAGAATTATATTACTTTTAAAAAAAAATGATATTCATAACATTTTTTGTCAGTAGGATTTTTAAAAGTTTTTAGAGTACACAAATGATAAGTATTATAAGAATTTAATATTTTTTAATTAACTATTAAAAGCATAACTTATAAGAATTTAATAGGAATATAAGTGCTCAATAACTAATAAAAATTTGATGTATTTAACAAATATGTATAAATAAGTTTTAAATATAAGTTTTAAATATAAATTCAAGTATCATAATGTTAAATACAAATGTACAATTAAATTAGATATTGTAGAAAGTGATGCAAAAATTTAAAATCAAACTATTTAAAAAATATTTGTATTTTTTTATGCTTTTTTTTTCCTATACGAGAATTTCTAATTTCATTTAATTTTTTTTAAATTTTCTTTTCCCATACGAGAATTTCTAATTTAATATAAAATTTAAGGTTTATAATCCAAAAAAAAATTATCAATAGACAATAACAATAATTTTATTTAATGCATAAATGTTTTTAACTATTAAGGAAGTGTAATAATAAAAATATTTTTGATGTTATTATAAATAATTTTTATTTGATTTTTAGAGAAAATGAAATGATTATTATTATTATTATTATTATTATTATTATTTTAAATTTAATTTTTTTTTGATTAAAAACTTTTTTTATTTAAATTTAACAATAAATGTTTTATTAGTCGATTCTAAATTCTTCAAAAAAAATTTCTTGCCTTACTATATTTAAAAAAAAAAAAAAGGAGCAAAAACTTTTGCAGAAATTTTAACTAATAAAACAAATGTAAATGATAATCAAAAACTTTTAAAAAAAATATAAATTAATGCGTGAAATTCCATTTAAATTAACACATATTCATAACTTATTTATGCAAATTTCAAATTTAGAAAAATTTTTGGAATTGTTTTTAAATTTATTTTTGGATTTAAATTCAAACATAAACAGAAGATTGCATTTGGGTAAAGGTAAATAATAAGAAACAGATTTTTTTTCTCTTTACTTGTCATTTGTTTCAATTTTCTATTTTCGTTTTTTAAGTTTTTTTTTTTTGGATAGATCTTGTCTAAAATTTCTTGCTTAGAAAATGGAATGAGATGCGATTTTCATAGCGTCCTACTTTGAGTACTTGGCGGGTTCACGTAAGGGGGTCGTCGCGCTGCGCTAACGGACGTGGGAGTTGCGTGGCGTGAAGGGTGGAGTGCATGGCGTGGGAAGTGATAGTGCGTGACGTGAGAGGTGGTAGTGCATGACGTGAGGATGGTAGTGTATAACGTGAGAGATGATAGTGCATGACGTGAGGGTGGATGGTGTATAACGTGAGAGATGGTAGTGCATGACGTGAGAGATGGTAGTGCGTGACGTGAGAGGTGGTAGTGCATGACGTGAAGAATGTTAGCGTATGACTGTACTTTTATTATTATAATGAACGTATCTTTTTCATTTTAGATTACTTTCACTTGATGGGAATGTGGATTTCCTGCTCGTTCCATGAATCAAGGATTAGCTGATGCTTTCGCTGATATTAAAAAAAGGATAATCTGACATTGGACAAAGATGAAAGCTATTGGACGTTATTCATTACTAGGAATTTTCATGCTAATGATAGGATTATTTTTTTCCTATCGACGCTACCTGAGGTTAACGTCGGAACCACTTGAAATATCATCCTATATCACTGAATTGGAGTTGTTGAATATTCAAATACCATATCATACCGAAGAATGGCCTGTCAAGTATGTTTAATAGTTTTGCTTGATAAAATCTCTAAATTAACAATTTTCAGAACAGATAATTTAGGTCAAATAATTTTCAAGCAACTTCACTAGAAAAGCAAATTGCAATGGTGACTGATGATGGATGAACTGTCATTTTATTTGTTACTGACAGAGTGACAGATTCTTCCAAATTTGAGTTTTATTTGAATATATCTCATTTTAGTTGAGTTTAATCACACTGCATATCTTTTAATTAATGAATTTTAAACGGCAAAAAGACCGTATAGAATTTGGCAACATTCAGCTTGAGCTAAAAAAATGCAACTATAAATATACTTTTTTTTAAGACTAAATTTTTTGAGATAGGAAAGGAAAAAGGAAAGTGTTTTTGTAAGGATATATTTTGGCTCCAATGACCTTATCACATTGGTCTTTTTTCTATTGTAGCTCATTTTAACGTTAACGTTAGCTTTTTTAAGCTCAGTTTTTCTCTGTTCCTTTTTTTTTTTTTTTTGAAGGATTTCTGAATGTACAATGTCACAGTGTTTCGATTTATCGCGATGTTTAGCGCAAGATGCATTTCGCGTGTATGTTTATCCATCAGACAACAGCTCAGTAATGTCCGTGGTATACAGTAACATATTAAAAGTTAGTTCTTACACTTAACGTAATAATACGTACTTTTTATGTATTAATATAGCTTTGTTAAATGCTTGAAATATGCCAGTGGTTCCTTTTTTCTTTTTTCTTTTTTTTTTCAATTCAGAATATATTAGAATATTTTTTTCTGTCAGAATATGAATAAACGAAGAAATATAAGGTTTAATTTTTTAAACCTTGAAAAATAGCGAGGATTTACATATTAGAAACTACGTGATCAAACTCATGAGCTTGAAAGATAGTGTTCTTTCCTTTTCTTTGATCTTTTTGGCTTAGTCTGAGATCTAAAATCTGGTACGAACTCTTTCTTTTGATTTTATAGTTTGTTTTTGATTGAAATATTCACTTTTTTTTTTTCTATATTCAAAACCTAACTGTTGCTTACTGGTATGGCAAGGATTACTTACGGTGCTTTCTAGGTTATCCGAGAAAGTATCTATTATACCAACGACCCTCAGAAGGCTTGCTTGTTTGTTCTAGGCATCGATACCGTAGATCGGGATAGAAGGAGGTATCGGATACTCATTTTGTCCATCAATTATCATTTTTTCCTAATCGTTGTTCTTTTTTTTTTAGTTTGGAATATGATATAATGGGATGTCGGTTCTAAATTTTTTTGAAATTATTCTCCAGTTTTTTTACAAGCAAAATCTCATATTTTTAGCGAAAATTATGTAAAGTATGTTAATGAATTGATAGAATCTTTACCGAGTGAAATTTGGAACTATGGTCGCAATCATATTATATTCAATCTTTATCATGGTACATATCCGGATTATTCGGATCACGACCTCGGTTTTGATACAGGCTATGCTCTCATTGCTCGTGCCAGCGCAAATACTCGAGTTAGTTTTAAT